GGGCAGTATCATTGTGTGTCACTCGTTCTCTCCGTCCTCCAGGGTCGTTGGCCAGGAGTGGGCTGCGCCTTTGGTCATCGGGTGGGGGGGCAGTATCACTGTGTATCGCTCATTTGTATATTTGTATATAGTATTATTTTTAATATTATTGTAGTTTAGTTATTAAATTGTTCTTATCTCAACCCACGAGTCCTCTTTACCATTTAACCCTTTAATTCTCTCCCCTCTCATTGGGTGGGGGTGGGAACTGTGTGAGCAGGTGTGTGTGGTTTGGCCCCAAGCCAAGGGCTAACCCACCACAAAATGTGATCATGTTCTTGAAACTGAATTCTTTTTTAAAGTATCTAAACTTGATCTAACTACTCATCAGTGGAGTATCTTATGTACTTTTAGTGTTAACTTCCCTGTTAAAGCATAAACCCTTTTCAAGGTTCAAGTACCTCTTTTCCACCACTAACTGCTAGTTATTCTTGTCTGCTATATTCAAGAACTCCTATTACCCCATTTTTTCCCGTGTAGTTTTGTGTAACTCAATCCCATTCCACCTCACCTCTCCGTAATCCAAACTCCTTGAACTTCAGCAGCATCTTTATACTTCCTAAATCTTCTTGTCCCTCTCTAATCTCTGTCCAACTTGCCAGCACTCTCCCTAATCTGTTGTCAAAGTAACTTATACAACATCAACGGAGCACAAAACATGAAGGTAGTAGGGCCATCACACCCTTCATCCAAATTCATTCCATACTTTCATATACAGAATCTCCACTATCTATGATATTGTACTGGAGCGTTTCGCAAGATATTTGTCATTTCCAAAAACAAACAAAAATTTGGAAAAAACAAACCAACCATGAGCATAGACCAGTAGGGAAGTCAGCAAGCAAGCATTCATTGTACACTGTCAAGGTCTCATGAATTTCAATGAAACTATGCCAATGTATGACTTTCAAAGAATTTTTCTGTGCATTGGTCAAACTCATTTGGTATGGCAGGCAGATACTGAAACTCACCATCCAACAGGTGTCCCAAGTCCTACACGGAACCACTTTTTGCTACATTCTGCTTTGTCAGCTAAAATAGTACCAACACCTAACATGCAAAAAAATTAAAAGCAGACTTCAACTAAAGGGACTTCAAACCTGAAGACTAACAGCAACAACAACTCTGTCATTTAAAAGCAATTAGGTATGCCTTCAGGATCAATCAGGCTTTTGTATCATTGAATGCTATTTTTCTGAATATGCTTAAAAAAAAAAAAAAAACAAACAACAAAAAAGAACCAAAAACTCAACCAATTACTTCTCTTCTACCGGTTAAGACACTTGATTAATTGTTGTGTGGAAGAAAAAAACCACGACAAGACTTGCAGAAACCAATTCAGATCCAGCAAGACTTCATTCCT